TATCATCAAATATTTTTTTTTGCTACTTCTTTAAGCAAAGCAACTACGTGCACCCTTTTTTTCTCGTCGTCTTTGCTCCTTTTTGTGAAGAAAATTGTCGTCTTCTTTTCCTTTCTTTTCTTTATTCTATTTATAAATAAGACATATAACAACTTCTAGCTTTAAAATTTTTAATGTGTAACGTTTCGCTAAGAAAAACATTCCCATATTATAGAAAAAGGTGTATGTTCTCGAGCTTTTTCTCCATCTTTTTCTATTATAATATTATTCTTTTGGAAGAAAAAGAATCGAAGATATTGTAGATCTTTGCTATTTGTTTGTGCCCATAACAAGTTATAGCATCTAATCTCATCTCCAATACATTTATATTTCTATTTTAGATAGTCGGATGTTCTATATATATCTAGTGGTGTATACAATAATTTATGCACCACTCAAGAAATAAAGTCTCTAACTCGATTTTATCAAAATTATCAGTTCTCTTTACAATTGAGTTGCGAGATATGGATCATCAACTTTAGTTCCGATGGTGAAATTATCAATGAATCTAATGAAATATTCAATGGATATTTTAAGATAATGACATGTAACGTAAAGGTTATGAGATGATTGAATAGAGAGATGTATGCGTGTGTTAAGAAAACACTTCAAAAGCAAAATATATCTCCATTCTGCATAGAAATGTATTATGGAAACCATTTGTTCATTTCGTGGTTGTAACATCAATTTCTTTACTACTGCAGATGATCGATGGAAAAAGCACAAGGATATTATTTATAAATATAAAAGTGTTTTTGGTCAAAGAATCCTTTTTAGAACATAAACATCTGAGAATAACATAACATCTATCGACTCTTTAGGTAGTGTCCAATAATTCGGGCAATCTTGTCGAGCTTATCTCTCAATAATTGAAGTAGATCTTACGTTGGTAATTGGCGTTCCTAGACTTATAGGGACCTGAGACGAACTTAAAAATATTTTCTTTTACATATAATTTTTTAACTACAATTATAATTTAATTTCAGATAATTGTTAAAGTGTCAATAAAAAGTTAATGAGATAAAAAAAAAATAAGCTTTGATTTTAGCATCAAATTGGTTTTGAATTTGACATGATAGTCTCGAAATTTGTTTTTACCATATTTTTATCATTATACTACAATTAATCTTTAGAATATAGAGCAATAAATTACACAAAATCATCCAGACTCCGAGGCGAATGCCTCTTTAACATCAAATGGTAAAGTTAAAAAAGATGAATTAGGATTTAAGTATATAAAAAGTTTGATCTTATATGTAAATATCCGCTGTTAATTTGCGGTTAGTTTAGTTCCACCATCCTCTACCACATCGTGATTGCAGTAAAACTGTTAGTCGTTTATTGGTGTGTTGCGAAAAAAAGTATGTACGGTAAATATGTAATTCAGTAGATATCATTTGTAATAAGAGAAGCAAAACATGTATTTATGATAATAATTGTATAAAAGAAGGAAAATTAGTGACAGAAAATTTAGATTATCTCTTTCTTTTGTCAATCTCTAATCCCTAAACAGCGTTGAGTTGATAGTGAATTTATGGAATATAACCAACGTTTTATGGAATCTCTAATCCATATTTAACGTTAATGTGATTGGGTTTGGGTTTAAATTATATGGAATGGAGCCCAATAAACTAACTATCTTGGGCCATGAAGAAACCCAAAAATAATTCGATCATTACAAATTGACTAATTCTCTCACCACTGAAAAACACTTGGCGTACAAAGGAACGAATATAAAGTGAAAAAGGCAGCTCAAAGAAGAAGACAAAAAAAATGGAGT